TCCGCCGACATGATGGGCGGCGCACGGGGACGCAAGGGTGGCGGTCTCTTTGGCGGCGTCATGCAGTCCACAGCCAAGCTGATAAATCCCACAGAGATCGGTGTGCGCTTCAAGTGAGTCCTCCATCAAACTAATTTGGACAAGTCTCATCTCTGGTATTCTTTCCTTAGGGACGTTGCTGGCTGCGAGGAGGCCAAGATTGAGATTATGGAGTTTGTCAACTTCCTGAAGAATCCACAGCAGTACATCGACCTGGGTGCCAAGATACCAAAGGGAGCCATGCTCACGGGACCCCCGGGCACGGGGAAAACGCTCCTGGCCAAGGCCACCGCCGGCGAGGCCAACGTTCCATTCATCACGGTGTCCGGCTCGGAGTTCCTCGAGATGTTTGTAGGCGTGGGTCCGTCTCGCGTGCGTGACATGTTCGCCATGGCCCGCAAGCATGCCCCCTGCATACTGTTCATCGATGAGATCGATGCCGTGGGGCGGAAGCGAGGCGGCAAGACTTTCGGCGGCCATTCGGAGCAGGAAAACACACTGAATCAGCTGCTGGTGGAGATGGATGGCTTCAATACCACGACGAACGTGGTGGTGCTGGCTGCCACCAATCGCGTGGACATCCTGGACAAGGCATTGATGCGACCGGGTCGCTTCGATCGTCAGATCTATGTGCCGGCGCCCGACATCAAGGGCAGGGCGAGCATCTTCAAGGTCCATCTGGGCGGACTGAAGGCGGAGCTGGACAAGAACGATCTGGCCCGGAAGATGGCGGCCATGACGCCTGGCTTCACCGGCGCCGACATCGCCAACGTGTGCAATGAGGCCGCTCTGATTGCCGCCCGCGACTCCAAGGACTCGATTGTGCTCAAGCACTTTGAGCAGGCCATCGAGCGTGTGATTGCCGGCATGGAGAAGAAGACGAATGTGCTGGCGCCGGAGGAGAAGAAAACGGTGGCCCACCACGAGGCGGGACATGCTGTGGCCGGCTGGTTCCTGGAGCATGCGGATCCCCTTCTGAAGGTTTCTATCATCCCGCGAGGCAAGGGCCTGGGCTATGCCCAGTACCTGCCCAGGGACCACTACCTACTGTCCAAGGAGCAGCTGTTCGACCGCATGTGCATGACCATCGGTGGACGAGTGGCCGAGGAGCTCTTTTTCAACCGCATCACCACCGGTGCCCAGGACGATCTGAAGAAGATTACGGACATCGCCTACTCGCAGGTGGTGCGCTTCGGCATGAGCGACAAGATCGGGCAGGTGAGCTTCGATGTGGGCCAGGCCGGCGATCCCGTGTTCAGCAAGCCCTACTCCGAGGACACGGCGATGATGATCGACGGCGAGGTGCGGGCCATCATCCAGTGCGCCCACGAGGCCACCACCGAACTGCTGACCAAGCACAAGGAGGAGGTGCGTCGCGTGGCCGAGCGCCTGCTGCAGAACGAGGTGCTCAGCCGCGACGACATGATTGAGCTGCTCGGCCCGCGTCCGTTCAAGGAGAAGTCCACTTACGAAGAGTTTGTCGAGGGCACCGGCTCCTTCGAGGAGGACACCTCGCTGCCCGAGGGCCTCAAGAGTTGGAACAAGGAAAAGGAGATCACCCCGCCCACTGACACTTCCTCGTCGCCTTCGCCCCCGACCAAGCCAGTGGCTACCCAGACCAGCTAGACGCTTGTCCAGGAGGACCGCCGTCTCTTTGTTTTCGTTGTAATCCCTAGTCACAGATAGAGAATGTGCAACCCCGAAGGATGGAGGAGTAGAGCAGTGCGGTAACGAGGCCTGGAGTGTTCCGGACACACGCGCACGCTCTTAAACAATTTGTTTGCATATTTTTAAGGTAGAACGCCCCGATGGAAACCTGTTCGGGTGTTGAAGAACGGGGCATAGATCTGTAAACTAAATTCCCCCGTAAGCTGTATTTTAAGCATGGGACAATAAATTCGAAGCGCCTCTAAGTGTGGGAAAACGCTAGAATTTGAATAGAGCTTTCGGCAGTGAAAGCGCTCTCCCCCAAGGTATATTGAAGAAGGGTGGGAGGGTTTCGCTGTTGTGGAGTAAGCCGCTCTGGGAATATCTTGCCTCTCGGTGATTTTGAATTTGAAATGGAGTACACTCTCTTCGATTACACTCCTTACCTAAGCTGTGCTTATTTATACCCTGTGTAGCAGCTCGTTCATGGATCATTTCTATTGCTTTTCCCTTTTTGCTCAGTGTAAGCTTTCGAAGCTTTTTTTGCTCTTAATTTTGAGCTTTATTGTTTCTACATGCCTGGCTATGCTCTCCCGCTGTCTCTCTCTTTCTCTCTGAATGACTCTGGCCGCTTATCACTTATCAGCTGTTCCGATGCTGATGCGCTTTGTGCAGCCGGCACGGCACGGAACGGCACGTTAAATAGTGCAAGTTGCCGCAAAGCTTTGCTCAAATACAACTACAACTACCATCGCATCGACTGGCGGCCAGTGTGTGTTGGGGTCTCAGCTGCCGCTTGCCGCCTGCCGTGTCGTAGAGTCATTTTGTTGGTTGTCGCGTTCGTGTGCGCGCACAGAAAACAGCAGCAGCAGCAGCCAGCAGCAGTCGCAGTCGCAGTCGCAATAATAGCCACAATATAGTATTCCACTGAAATCCCCCAGTTCCGAATCATCTGCCGCTGCAGTTGCAAGTGGAGTGCGCCGGCCATAACTCAGCCAATAATCATACAATATAATCATAAGCAACAGCAGTTGGCTGAATTGCATTTTGTTAAATCGACGATGGCTGTGTGGAATGCAATTTGACGATTATATAATGTAAAACAAAACAACAAAATACAAGTTTTTTTTTTGGGAAAATAATCTGAAAGAAAAAAGTGCGCGGATCCGCTCGCCGTATCCTTCTTCTTCGAATCTCCCTCTCCAGTTTTGTAGCATTTAGCATTTAGCCGGCCGGCAAAAGTCCATTTATTTTTTAAATATTTTTTTTGATTTGATCGCTTAGAGCGAATTGAGTGGGTCGCAAGATGATGAATCTGCAATGACCAGACACTACCTACAATGTGGTACCAGCAGGCGCGAGGCAAGGCTGGTTAAGTTTGCATTATTGTGTTCCTTTTACCAATGCGAGGTATTTTAATTTATCATTAGCTTATGAATATTCGACTGCTTACTTATGTTTTCAGATGTTTTAACGTCCGACTGACGGACACGTGCCAGTGCGAAAGTCCATTCTTAACGGAGATTGAAGTTCGAAATTCGAATTCCGTTGCTGAGATGCATTTATTGCCGCCCCCTGGCGGTGATCGTTCTTGGGTTTTTTACAATGCAATTTTTGTGTTTGATTTGTTGGGGTTTTTGTGTTTTTTTTGTTTTTTTTTTTGTTTTTTGCCAATTGTCGCAATTGTCGGGTCACGTGTTTGTTGCTGTTGCCAGTTAACTTCTGAACTCGTTGTAACGGTGCATGTTCTCAGATAGTTTGTGTGTGTGTGTGAGTGCGTTGGAGTATGAGTGTCTGTTTGTGAAAGCTTGCATGCTGCGCGTTATTACGAGGTTGTTGTTGTTGCTGTCGATGTCGCTGTTGTGGGAGTCAACAGCACATGCAATGTTCCTCCTCTTCGCACTCACTCTCTCTCTCTCTCTATCTCTGTCCTGCTCTATCAATTGTTTGTTGTTGTGGGTGTGGGAAAAGATCAAGGCGCGTATTAGCACACAGCAACATGCAAAAACAGAGAAAGAGTGTCAGGGAGCGGGAGAAAGCGAGGGAGGGAGATTGTCAGAAGAGAAGACAAAAGTTCAGAGCTATAAAAATTCGATGTCGTTGATGGCAATTGAATAGCCGATGGGATGGCTGGTTGTTCAGATTCAGGGGGCTTGCCGCCGTAGAAACACTGCACAAGATCCAGCTAAGAACTGTTTTTAGGCGGATATTGGATAATTATGATAATCCCCAGGAAGATGTCCTCCTCAGTTGATCGTGAGGGTAAATGTTTCCCATTGATTTCAGCTTACAAACGCTAAAGTTTCGAGAGGGCTGTCTACCGATGTTTCGAGACCTCCCTTTGAAGAAAATAAGGATTCTCTATTCGGGTAGATTGGGTTTATTTTTGGTAGAAGGAGAAATTCGGAGTAGGGCCTGTGTCTTCTATAGATATGTAGTTCTATGGCTCTTAAGAATGAGAAGTGAAGGGAAGTAACCCCTTTTTCTACAGCTGTCATCTGTTATGGATGTGATGAGAAAGGCCTCTAGGGCGGAAGAATGGGAAGAGCGATTTATGATTGCCATTTCTACAGGTCTCGAGAATGAGATGCCCTTCACAAGAATGAAATTACAAAGAGAGTTCAGTGGAGTACTTTGGAAATCTACAGATCCTAAGAAGGTTCTAACCTTAATTGGTAGCTACGCTGGTTTCCCTTGGATTTCTCCTCTCTAGGTTGCATTTTTAGCCACAAATGGATTGTATAACTAGATTGAAACTCCGCCTGGGAGTGTCGTTCCTTCACTTAAATTTATTGGCCGGCTTTAGTTCGGCTATAAACAGAGTCTAATTTATTTCAAGCGGCAGATCTATTTCACTCTCTCGTGCAGTACCGCATCCAAATTGTCACTCAGCCGTCAATTCCGTGCACCTGGCACCTGGCACCTGCCACCCAGCCACCTGCACTCCCCCGTGTCTCTCTTGCACCCACACTCTTTGTGCAGGCCCCTGCCCCTGCCTCTGCCGCAACCCAAACGTTGCAGCTCTTTTTTTTTTGCATTTTTTGTTGTTGTGAATCGAAACGTCGAAGAGAGGAGGCGGAAGAGAGGTGCCTCACGAAAGTTTCAATGTCTAAAAGTTTAAAATTACAATTTAATTAAATTTCACACGCCCCCCAAGCCCCCAAAACCACCAAGCCCAAAACCGCAACCAAAACCAAATTTTTTTTTGCAGTGATACGATGTTGCCTTAAAACCAATAAGAATCCAACAACAAAACCAACAAAAGTTAACGCAACGTTTTTAAAACAATAATAACAATAATCCCATAAGCACAAAAAAAAAAAACAAAAAAATAAACTAAAAAAAAAACAAATTTGTTAAAAAAAATTCTAACCAAAAGTGGCCTGCAAAACGAGGAGGAAGAAGCAACAAAAGAAGCAACCAAGAAATGTGATTCCCAGTGTGAAATGTAACCAAAGACGTGAACAATTCTGTTTGATTATTAGCCAAAGGAAAGCCACGGCCAAAAGCAAACCTAAAACCAAACAAAGTCAAGCCAAAAGCAGAAGCAGAAGCAAAATCAGAAGCAAAGGAAGTGGCAAAATCCAGTAGCCAAATGGAAATCAAGGAATCCTCAAGCAAATCAAACAGCAGATTAGCAGCAGCAGCCACTAGCGTGGCCAATGATTAAGGGCCGGGACTGTTAGCCGTTCCGTAGTAATCGTAGCAGCATCCCCCCGTCCACCCACACGCCACTCGCCACACGCCACTCGCCACGCCACACGCCACGCCACGCCGCCTTCACCGCGCTCAATGCCCGGACAGCAGACGTTAGCGCAACAATTATAGAGTAGCAACAGACCAGCAGCAGCCGCAGCAGCAGCAGCAGCAGGCAGCAGCAGACAACATTCATCCCCAAGACACATCCCCAGCCACACCGCCCCACATCATCATGGACATCAAGATTGAGCAGCAGCAGCAGCAGCAACAGCAACAACAGCAGCAGCAGCAGCAACAGCAAGTGGAGCTGGGTCCCTGCTCGCCGTCGGAGGTGCCCAATGATCCTGGGTAAGTGTTTCTCTCTTTTTTTCCGCCCCCCCCTCCAACCCGTCTCCAACCCGTCTATGCCCTTTAAGAGGGTCCTACAGTGTGTTCCTTGGACCCTGGCATAGGTAGAATATCATCGTAAACAGAGCTACGTTTGACAAGTTCTTAGACCCTAGGTTCTTTATGGATCTACATATCCCTATGATCCCTTAGATGTCAGTGGGCTTCTTTCAATGGGTGTTTTTTTGGCTATAGATCTCTCTTCCTTTTTGTTGTATTTCTTTGGCAATACTACCCAAGTTCTCCAAGACACTTGGGAGCATATTTTAAGGGATGCTATGATCTGAAACTGTACTACTTTTGGAGGCTAATAGCTCCAGAACTTTCCCAAATTAGCCCCCAATCGAGCGGCTGTTTTTCAAAGAATTTCTACAATATGCAGTTTAATTTAGTGCAGTTCTTAGACATAGACCTATCCATGTACCTACGAGTATATACAAAGCTTAAGTTCTTTCCACGTTAGCCCTGAAAAAGCATTTCAAAAGATGACGAAATCACAAAGTGATTGAAAGTCATGCCCAATGGAGGGGCTGTCATTGGAGGAGGAATGGCAGGCCACAAAATGTTAACCAAATTCCATCACAACAACCCAAGAACCCAAGAGAGTATCTGGATCGCAGAGTATCTCTCAAAGAGAGTATCTGGATCTTCACTTCACCGAAATCTGTATCTCGTTCCGTTCTTGAATGTTTTTGCTGTGTGTCTGAGGTCGTGGCTGTGGCATTAATTGTTTTAGTTTTAAGTTTGTCATTATTGAAGAGCGGGAAATGGCCGGGGTAACGGGGAAACGGGGAAATGGGGAAATGGAGGGCTGCGATTGGGGAGGGGGGAGGGAAGTGTGAAAGCAGTTAGAGCTGTTGACAGAAACTTTTTCTATGTCAACTACGGGGTCCAGCCCAGTCCGAGTCCGAGTCCGAGTCCAGTCCAGTCCGGGTACCGTCCAGGCCGGAACCAGGACGAGAACAGGGGACTGCAAAGTCTGCGAAACTAATTAGAAAACAATTTGCCAAGGACATCAAAATTCAATTAAAGCCATTGAGAGCTTAGTGCTTTAGTGCATTGCAGTTACTGCTAGTCTCGGCTCTCGTCCTGACTTTGGTCGTCCTTCTTCTGGTTACAGTTTATCATCGGTCCAGTCTCTGCCACTCAGCCACTCTGCCACTCTGCCACTCTGCGACTCTGCCACTTAGCCACTCAGGCACTTCCTGTGCCGCATCATAGTCTGTCCCGAAAATGGGTTAAGTTGTGATTGCGGCGGTGTCATATGCAGCAGATTAATTGCAAGCTGCATTGCTGATAATTTGCATCAGGTTTCGGGCGGGGTGCATGCAACGGCTGTGGAAAGTCATACGGCATCGGACAAACAAATGAGTGATCACATGATTGGCAGTCGAGTGGCATTGCTGGCACTGCTGGCACTGATTGAAAGGTAATGATGATGTGGGGCGCGCACACACACACACACACGCACCCAAACACAAACACAAACAGCCTTTTGACGCAGTCCATGAAGTGAACAAATTATGAAAGGAGGAATGCCACAATCGATGTGGCATTAGTATTCATGTGTGGCAAATGGGACCGCAGCTGAAAGGAAAGATGGGTATGGAAATGGGGCTCCCGCTGAATGCATATGAATGGTGGGGGGAGGGGGGGAAAGGAGTGTAATTGGAGTAAGGACTGGGAGGATTAGAAGTTTTTGAATAGGCAATGGAAAGTGATCTATGGGAAATGGTGCTTCGAAATGCATTGTTTATCAAAGAAAAATCTCGCAAAAGATGATAGCTGGCCAATCTATAGGAAACTCCTTCTAAGATACCCCAATAGAACCTATGAGAGGGGGCTCAAAGATCATGGATCTACACCCCTAGAATAAATCTCGTAATCATAGCGCTTGCCAAACTTTTTTGCAACTTCAAACAAAGTTAATCTTAAATATGAGACACTAATGGAGCTCTCTATAACCATCTCCCGTGTCAACATGAATCAGAGAAACTCTCCATCAAATCGGGCGGGAGCCCAGAGATTATCTCCATCTGCAGAGCAGGGAAGGGCAGGGCAGGGCAGGGCAGGGCAGGGCAGAGATCTTCATGGAAGAGCAAGGGGCGGGATATGAGGAGCAGTTATGGCCATATGGCCTCGGACAGCCGTCGCAATCCATTGAACACGCAATCCCCATAAATTATGCAGTTCATGCATATACATGCGATACATACAGATGTACATACGTATATCCCCTCCCTGTATATATATCTATTATCGAAATGCTGCAAATTTCAGCACTCCACAAAGAGTGTGTGGCACATGGGAGGGTTGGTGAGGGGAGGGTAGGGGAGGGGAGGGCCGTAGGCATGTTTGATGCAGCAGCTCTTCTTGTCTATTTGCATTAGTTTTTGGCCAACTTGCAGCAGCAGCAGCAGCAGCCACAAAAATAGGCTGGGGCATGTTGCATCTTCAAGTGGCAGGCAGGGCAGCGGGCCTTAGGCTACCGGATAAAAGAAATGGATCACCTGCTGCCGCTGCCGCTGCCACTGCCGCTGCTGCTCCGCTGATGTTGGCAGGTGCCACACTGGCAACAGTTGCAACTGTTTGCAACAACTGCGGGCGGGAGTCGGGTAAAAGTTTGTGTGGCGTTGCACGAATGGGAAATGCAGCACCTAGTAGCGCGAATGTTGAATGCATAAATCTTGAATTAATGTAAAATACCTTTTGATGACGCTCCCCCCAGATACAGATACGGCTGCAGATACAGATACAAATGCATCCGCATCTTTGTGTCTTTTTTGTATCTTTCACTCTCTCTCTCTCGCTCTCTTTCTCCCTATCCTCCTATCCTCCAATCTGTAGCTCTATTTCGGTTGTGCAACTTCGGGGGAATATCATGCGAATACAATTCCATTCACAGTTTCGTTCACTGGCGGTCGGTCGGTCTGTCGGTCGGTCGGTGGCTCTCCTCTCGGCGATCGCCATGGCTCAGTAAATTTGAACGGTCTCCCGGTCTCGGTCCCGCCTTCCTGCTCATCCATCTCCCACTCATCCACTCATCCACTCTCGGACTCTCTTTCTTGTGGCAACTTTATAAATCTTTTAAAAGGGCCTCCAATCCCCCCAGTCCATGGAAAAGGCATCTGCGGTGGGGAAAAACAGGAGGCGACGGCAGATCTTTTGCCTCCGAAAATTTATAGAGGACAAGGGGGAGAGATCTTTGGCCCCCGAGAGGCAGGAGAAAGGCTGAGGCGATCGGTGGCTGATGAGATCTTCTTCTGGCGCAAAATGGCAAAGTAAATAAACACAAAGGCGCAAGAAAATGCAAATAAAAAGTAAAACACATGCAACAAAACTTTGAAATAGCTAAATAAATGCCCTGCTATTAATATAATTCACTTTGCCAATGTATTTTTAGTGGCAAATGAAAAGCAGCAAAAGCAAACAAATGAGTGGAGCATTGAGACGGGCATTGGCGGCGAGGCTGATCGATTAGCAGGATACCCTTTATAATGGAGAAGGGGGATCGTTCTGGGTAGGGATTGTTCCCCTGCACACTCGTCTCGCTGGCTTGTGCCCACCCCCGGCTCACTCGCTTCACTCGCTGGCGCAGATATGAGTAACGAATTGATATGTTTACCTTTATTTGGCTTTTGGGGTAAATTTAGTTTGGAAAATTCAAACATAAGGAGAATCCAAAGCTTTCTTGGAATAGAAAATGATGAGTATTGGTTGTATGGGGTGTACTGTCCATAAATTCATGTTCAAAAGGAGAGCAGGGTGTATTTTTCTTAATATTTCTTAATTACTTCTTAGATGAAGCCAAAAAACAGCCACGAATGACACTCGATACCTGAAATCCTTGAGGACAAATTATGTACTCTGCATGCAGGAGGCTCTCTGTGTGTGAAGGTCCTCTAAAACGTGCTTCTCAGATATCCAAAGGAATCTTCGCACCGATTTATCTCCAAAACTCTTGAGCAATCATCAAATATTATAGATTGCGCCAACAGGCTGTGAATCAACAAGTATTTGGGTTATTTTTGGGGCGTCCCCATCGCCCCCTCAGTGGCTTAGCTAGCTAATCCATCCCCTGCTACCCTCTGCGAATGAGCTACGACAGCGGCAGCAGCAGAAGCAGCGGGAACATGGCTACGTACGACAACGGCATCCGCATTGGTATTCGGGTTCGACAATTATCCATTAGAACTGACACGCGGCACCCAAAAACAGAGAAAAACCAAAAGCAATGCAAAAAAAAACAAAAAAACAAAACAGTACACGCTCTCGTCCAGCGCTCCCTTTCGAAAATTTGGGCCTAGGAATCGACAGAAGCACCAGCAACAGCAATAGAAACAACAACAGCGAGAACCACGATGGAGGGAATGCAATGAGCGACTGGTGCAGCAACCGTTAGAGAGGTTGTTGTCATTCGCGGAAGGGTAGGGGTGGGGGGATGGGGAAGGGACGGTTTGGCGTGGCAATGCAATTGCACTCGCTGCTCTTTTCATAATTGTCGTTTTGTTTCTTGTCTCCGTCTCTGTCTCTGCCCCTCTCTCTCTCGCTCTCGCTCTGCTTGTAATTGCGGCTTTGTTACGTTTCGTAAATTGATTCATTGTACTATGTTCTACGCGGACTACGGAGGAGCACGGAGCCACGGAAAACGGAGAGTGACCGGACCCCATCACCATCCCCATCCCCATCCCCATCGCCATTTACCCAACCCAATCGTCTGTCACATCCACAATGTACTTCTCCTGTTTGTCCGATATAATTGCTTTCAAATGATTTTGTGTCGCTGTGTGCGGCGCAGTTCCATATTGCCCCAAACTGTTGTTTGCTTGTCATTGTCGTAGTCCCCGTATCGTATCCCTTGTCCGTGTCCCCGCAGCACAGTCCCTGATGTGTCCCCGTCCCCGTGCATTCGTGTTTGTGCTGTTTGTCCGGCCAATAAGCTTTCATTTGGTATGCATAAT